GCTATGTCTGCAGATTGTACCCTGGTTTCAAAGCTGCACTGCATGCCTTTATAGCTGTGAGCTGTGTCCAGTAATAGCACCACGAAGTTGTTTTAGCAGAGTGTAATAGGTTATAAACTACCACTTGATCTTGGCCTAATGCCCTGAAACTGTTGCCGAGCCATCTGCAGCTAAGTGCATGATGATAAACAGTGTGTGACCCGTTTTATTTTATTTTCCCGAGTACGTTTGTTAGAAATCTGTTTGCATGAATCAGAATGATCCTCAAACAAGACAGACTCTTTGTGGAGATTATCACTCTTGACTGTTGACATATTCTATCCTTGGCAGAAATTTCAAATTGCTGTTTAAAAGGCTCTAAGTGATCTCCTCTCCTCTTGGCTGAATGGAAGCGAGTTCGTGGCGTACAGGCCAGCGGCCAGTAAGAGACCATAACAGACACCAAGCAGGGACATGTAAGGGAAAGGCATCATGGTGGATTATAAACAGTGTCGGACCTTCTGAAATCTGCATAGGCCCCCCCTCCCCCTTTTTCTCTTTTGCTGTGATGCGCTGTGCATCTCACAGGATGGCTGAAATCAGATTGGGAGGGGGGATGGCGGCAAACAGCAATTAGCAATATGTCATACAATGGTGTTTGCAGAAGCAATATGCCGTGATTATTGGATCGTTTAGTCTGCTTCTCTGCTCACGCCATGCATTTCCCTCTGCCTCTCGCTCACTCTCTCTCTGAAACATTGCTACTTTGATATTTCTGTCCACAATAAGCCAACAAGGCAGAATTAAAGCGATGTTTTCTCCATTTCCTCCTCTGATCTATTCAGTACCAGGGATAGCGCCAGGTGGCTTAACACAAATATCCTAAATTTGTCTGTTTACAGCATACCTCACAAGCAGAAAAATAAACCAGCTCTTCTATGTTTTCTCAGTAGCAGCCTTCCTGATAACAAGCTTCAATTATTATAGAAAAACAACAATTTCATTACAGTCATTGCTTTGAAAATGAAATGGGGAAAAGTTATTTTTTTCAGGGTACAGAAGAGAAAATGCTTGTTTTTTTGGTAATGGATATGTGGATGAATATTGCAAGAAGTCGTGCTCATTTTAACCCTTCCAGCATGCAAAAACAGACCAAATAACTGAAATCAGTATAAATGGATTGTTGCAATTTGGCCAGTTTCCACTTCAGCTGCCGGATCCTATTTCAGGACGTGCCATGTGCTATTTGGCAGTCAGTGAGTTTGTATAAATGGCTCTTTTAATTTTAATTTAGCCTGGAAGTCATTGTTGAAACACACCTGGGCATTTAAATTTGTTTCAGCAAATGCATAGTTGTTAACATTTAGCTGCTGTTATTGAGAAACACTGTTCTCAGACTGAAATTTAGTTTTATATGGTGCAAAAGCATTTGCCTCATAACTGATTTTTTTTCTTGTTTTGTTTATTTGCATATTTTTCACACTTAAATGTTTCAGATCATCAAACAAAGATGACGTGAATAAATACAAAATGCAGTTTTGAAAAGGGGGGAAAAAAAGTTATCCAAACATACATGACCCCATGTGAAAGGTAACTGCCTCTTAAATCTAATTCTGCCACCATTTGTAGCAACTGCTAATGAGTCTTTCATGTCCATGTGCAGGAATTTAGGCCCACTCTTCTTTGCATACTTGCTTTAATTCAGCAACACTGAACGATTTAAAGAACGAACAACCTGTTAAAAGTCAGGCCAAAGTATCTCGCTTGGATTTAGACGTTTCGTGACACTACCGCCATCCTGCATAACTCTTGGTATGATGTTCGTTTTCATAAAAAGCTTCATCAGTTTTACGCCAGATGTAACGGGACTCGAACCTTTCAAAAATGTAAACTTTTGTCTCGTCAGTCCTCGTCAGCTATTGTTGAGTTTCTTTAGATCACAGCATGATGTGATGCTTATTGAGATCCCTGTCCCTTTGTTGAAAGTGCTGCAGCTGCTATACCATCTTTAAGATAACTGAAGATGAGTTAGTGAAATCGTACTTCAGAATTGGTTTTAGTAAAAAGAAAATTATTTCTTCTTTAGCACATAAACACAGTGTGGTGATAAATAGAAGGATGCAGAAAAGATGGTGCAGAAAGCTACAATAGTCAGAAGGAAAGTACACAAGCCTGAAGGAGTCGGCCTGATTTGTACACAATGAAATAGCTGGCAGTGGACAGATGCAAGGATATTGATGGTCACACCGTCGTGCAATAGACAGGACGTATGTTAAATCACAAGACACAATCAGATGGCTGATCAGTTTGTTTCACTAACTTATTTACACAAGGCATAAAATTATCACTAATATATATACATTTTTTTAAATGTTGCCCTAATACTCCTTAAGAAAGATGTGACCATTTTACAAATGATAATGATCAGAAGGTGGGGAAATACTTCACAGCACTTTATTAGCTAGATTGATATGCATAGAATAAGCCAAATATTTGAGGTTATATGGTGCAGTTTGCTCAAAGTGTGTCTGTAATAAACAAATAAACATTTTCAAAGTGAGCCAGAAGAGTATAGCACACACACAGGCTTGCTTTGACACAGTAGAACAGCCTGTCGTTTCTAAAGATAGGATTCAAAACAGCGTCACGTGAGGTGGTGATAAGTTTCCTCACGGTGTCATTTTAGATGCAGGAACCTGAGGATGTCAGCGCTGGAAACACCGCTGCAAGGGAACAACAAAAAAACAGTTTTATATTGAGACCGACCACTCATTCAGACGTCTACACACTTGACCCGGCTCCTCTCTGTGCAGGGGTTGTGTTGTGTTTAAAAAAAAAACAAAAAAAAACCCCCAAGTAATTTGGGTGAGCTGACCCTTTGCGCTCTCCCCTCTCTCATTTTGCTCCTCCTAGACTTTGACAGGTTTGTTTGCTGATTGCTTAAATAGCTTCTGCCACTGTTAATTTGACTTAATTGACCTTTTGATTAGGGTTCTCATTAACAATTCTAATGTCTACACAGGAGCCTTCTTGTGATATATTATTCAGCTGGCGTGCAGCAGTACGTGGCTGTTCAACAGTGCTTCTTTCACAACACAACAGAAAGAATAATGGAGCTGTTGGTCTTTATATGTTTAAAAATATACCTATGTTGAGGTATAATTATGTGAATCCACTCTAAATGGAGGTTCTTGAGCTAAACCGGCCTTGCAAGTTTCGCTTGAATCGAATTGAAATTTATAGCATTGAGCACAAAAAGGGACAAAAAAACCCCACTAATTTCTGTCGAGAAATATAATTTGCTATTTGTGAAAGTTTGCTTTGTTCATGTGATACTGCTCTGTTTCACAGGAACATCCTGCTGAGTTTCCAATTATCAGTCCGTAATGCCAGTGCCCTGTTTCGTTTCTACCCATCTTTTGTCTTTAATGGGAAAACTAGCCTTCTCCATCCTGATGTGATGACTTTGTATGGATGATTGGTTACTTGAGAACTTAAAACTGAAGATTGCTTCTCTTTCAGTTCTCTTCAATGACAAAGACAGAAAAGTGTGTATTTATGGCTGTGTATAAACAATCTAGGCAATTTGCTTCACAGCACTGATGGTTCTTAAATGTTCTTTTGAATTGATTGTTGAATTATGTTGGAGTAATGTGGTGAAGGGAAACTCGAATAAAGACACTGTGTGCGTGCATGTGTCAGGCTATACAAAACTTCAGAGAACCTAATTAAGAAACTATTTTTTACAATAACAACGCTGAATTATCTGTTACCATAGTCCACTACAGTCTGGCGATTATACAGATTATAATTGCTTAATTTATTTATCATTTCTTCTTCGGGAGAAATTTCATACCCTTGTAGCTCTACAAGGGTATGCCTATAATTATGTCAGTGTTTGCCAGGATTTCTTTTGTTGTTGTTGTTTGATAAAGAAACTATTAAAACGCTTTATACAATTGGCTTTAGAAATGGACAAAAACATTTTTGCTTCTGTATACCACCAAAGTGGAATTTAAATGAAACATTCATGATTTGATTGAGGTGCAGACTTTATGCTTTATAGGCATATAGATTTTTATGCTTGTTGTTGAGGTTTCTGTCTAAATCAGACAGACTCACATGGACCATCATCCATAGACTGTACATGAGAGATTGGGAGACTGGCACAGCTTACTGGTGTGAAAAGTGAAGTCAGTGTGAAAGTCCTGTTAAACTGCATTTTATAATTATTTGCTTTAGGGTGAGGCTAACGTGTGGTTTACAAACTGCTATAATATGAGTGTGCAGTGTCTCTTGGTTTCTTAGTCCGATTCACCTCCTGGTCATCACATACAGTGTGAGGGCTACACTAACCAACAGGTGATGTCACAGCAGTTACATTTATGTGAATACATTTGTGTGACTTGTTATTAGCTGACGGTAGATGTATCCACTGTGGCCCATCTTTGTGGTTGTTTGAGTTCTTGTTACCTTCCTGTCAACTCAAAGCTAATTGGCCTTTCTCCTCTGACCTCCAGCATCAACAAAAATCCAAACCTATCTGTCTCTGTGTCGAAATATTAATTGCCTTATTGTTAAATCAAGCATTGACTGTGAAAACCACGTTTTTTGGGGAAGCAAAGTTCAATTTCACTAGCTATATCCAGCCCTGATTACTGCTGGACCTCCTGAATCAAGAAATCACTTAAATAGAACCTGTCTGACAAAGTGATGTTGCTGTATTTTCCTTCTAATATGTATGACCTTAAACTTAAGTATTGTACGCATCTCTTTCTCTGTTGTCTTTGAGACCTGGTGGTCTAAGCACTTTCCATTTTTTTTCCACCTCAATATTCCCTGCTAAGTGGTAGCTGACGAACATGTAATTGTGGAAATTAAGCTTTGGCCCACTGAATGTTTTATTCTCTTAGTTATATTTAAATCTGCAGAAACTGAGCGAATCTAGAAACCTGCTGGTTTCCCATCATGTTCAAGCTGATGACTAATCTGTCCTAACTGCTTCGCTTGTGTGTTTCCAGCTAATAGGCGGATGTATCCTGGGTATTGGCATCTATGCAGAAGTAGAGCGACAGCAGTACAAGACACTGGAGGGTGTGTTTCTGGCCCCATCTATAATCCTGATCCTACTGGGCATCATCCTATTTGTTGTTTCATTCATTGGAGTCTTGGGTTCCCTGAGGGATAATATAACTCTATTGAAAGTGGTGAGTGGTGAAGTATTGGAAATTGCCTTTGCATCACTGTTATTTGTAAAGATGCAAATAACCCCCCCCCCACCCCCACCCCCCCCCCCACACACACACACACACACACACACACACACACACACACACAGTTTAAACTAAACCAGTCTGTCTTACTTTCTGGGATTTAAAGAGAGACAAACAAACAGAAAAAGCTGTTACTGGATGAAACTGGTTGAGAGTTGCATGATGCTGCACCAAAAACCTAGTTGGAATTGCTTTGCTAGCAGATCGTTTGCTTATAAGATGCCAACTTTTCTGCAAACACTTTCCAACTGAAACTGTGTGAAGAGTGTGACACAAACCAGAAATAGAGATTGTTACGTTTTGGAAACATGTTTGTTTCACTGGTAAAAGCACAACTTTTACTTCAGCTGTAGCAACGTGCTAGCAACCAAAACAATCAATAGGAGGTATTTGGTGCAGCATCACATTTGCAACTGATTTCATCGCCAGCAACCAGTCAGACAATGTATATTTTCCCTAGCGACTGGAGGATGCTCACACCGGTCTCTAAGATGGAGTGAGTAATGGCTTATTACACTAAGGAGAGTCATTTGACATAATGTACTAAATTTTTGCTTCTGTTATGTACTAAAACTATAGAAAGAAATGCAATGAACTGACTGGTGAAAAATCAAGACACACTGTATTACAAATTACTTAATAAGCAACTAAACAACTGGAGTCACTGCCAGATGCAGGAAAAGACAAACATGGGAAGATGGCATCTATATTCAGGATTTTATGAAAGCACAGAGCAAGACCAGAGTGTTCTGGTCACTGGTTGCTTTAGAGATTAACTAGGATAGGAAGGAAAGGTCTTTCTGTATGGACACAATACACAAACTGTTAAAAGATGCACACAAAGGCACTTTAGAAAACGTTATCTCAATTTTTTTTTATTTTTTTTGGGGGGGGGATATGCTTGAACTCAATAGAACAATGAAATTCATATTCTTGTCTGGTGCACCACAGTTCATGTACACCCTGGCAGCGTGTCTGCTCCTGGAGCTGGTTGGAGCAATCTTGGGGCTGGTGTTTCGCAACCAGGTGAGTTGCCTCAAGTGTTAATCAGTTCCCTACCATTTTGAAATCCTCTGACTTCAGCAGGTGGGCAGTGAAGGCATGTGTTTTATTTCACGTAGCAGGGAGCAAGATGATAACCAAAGCAGTCTGACACTGACAGTCTGCTTACCACGAGGAAGAGATTCACTCTAGCCAAGAAAAGTAAAGCCACATTATGTAGTTTAATTTGATTTCTGAAGTCTTATTCTCTTTAACATGAGATAAAGCTGTTAAAAGCTGTTTTCCTGTGACCAATACAATAGATTAAACTTGCACAGGATCAGAATTCATATGTTTAGAAGAGTATGTAGAATTATCAGTTGTCTATGTGATATTTATGTCATCTTTCACAATGTCTCTGTATTTTGCACTTTTAATATTTCCCTCTTAAGTTCTCCTGTTGGTCCTGCTTACTGTCTCTGCCTTATGATCTCTGGCTTCTTCCAACATAGGTCATCATGTCTGTCAATACTTTTTAAACCAGAAAGGAGCAACTTTACATGACATAGAAACTCCAAATAGTTAAAATGTAAAGAATGGAAAGTTAAAGTCAGTGATTGTTGGGAATTACTGCAGTGTTGAATGTCAAACTGTCTGCAATAAGGCACTGCAGGTGGGTGATTCAAAATGCAGGGTCTTGTCTAATGTAGAGGCCCCCAACCCTGAAGTGTAGAGCACCTTTTAATGAATCCTGTTTAGACAAGAAAACTCGATTGCCTTTATTTGCTGTGCTGTTGGATTTTCCAGAGGTTGTTCCTGCTGCTGTGTCGTACCAAGAGATTTTAATGGTGCGCCATTTAAAGGCAGTTGTTAATAAAAGCAACAGAAATTGAGGCTTAATCATCAGGATTGTGATTTTTATTTTGTAATCCTTTTTTATGGGGAAGGCTCAGTTTTAAATGAAGTGTAAAGGGGACCAAAATGAGACACTGTGGGAGGCTCATTTGATTCATCAACAAATTCTTAAATGAAAAAACAACAACAACCAATTATGGCTGCATGTTGTAAAATTTATTTTATATGAAACAAATTATCAAACCTCCACCTCTTAATGATTTAACTCGATGTAAATGAGGCATCAGGGTTCTGTATTCCAACAACACTGTTTATTATGCTTTTATTAAAATAATGAAAATGGGTCCACTTCACATGGATTAAATTTGATGTTATGTAAACAATAATTTTCTGTATATTTAAAATAAACTTTGGCTCAAACTAAAGGAGGTTGTTCAAGCAGAATTACAAAAAAAAACCAAGATCTGGATGTAAATATGTCGTTTTTTGTTGTTGTTTGTTTTTTAGTTAGTTTTTAAATTGTAATCCAAGCCTCTCTAGATGAGAGGTCTAAAAAATAATCTTATAAAGTTAAAGCTGCAGGGTTTTGTTTTTTGTTTTTGTTTTTTTTAATCACAATTACTAAAGAAGGGCTAACAACAGAAGGTAGATAAGCCAGTAAATCTAGGGTCTGTAGTGTCTGAAGTCCTCTTTATCAAAATCAACATAACAGAAATAAAGCAGGAAAAGTAGACCCTCTGGACCCATCAAAAAAACCAAAAACACAAAACCCCCACACACACATACACAAAACACAAAATAATTAACAACTGTTCAACCAAAAATTACCGCTGCACTGGCAGGACGGTGTGTAGAGGAAAGGAAAGCACACCAAGGGTCCTGCCCCCTCTTTATTGCTTTTCAGTTAATCACATCAGACCAGCTACACCTGAGAGGAGAGCACAACGCACCGTGAGTCACAGATCATTTACACACCATAACCGGCACGAAGGGGGAGATAACATTGACATGACTTATCTCCTTCTCATTTGCATGTTACAGCGCCGTGTTCGTTAGGCATAAAATTCCTCATATAATTTTGTTAAATGAAAACCTTTTGATAATTAATTTTGAGGGGAAAAAACAGAATGGTGTTAATGGTTATTAAAATTACAGAATAAGTTTGTTAGGTGCTTAGCCTCTAGTCCTGCCCTGAGAAATGAGGTTTGCACAGAACACAACTGGTGGAGGATGATAACTAATATGAGCCATGATCAAAACAAGATTCGCGTTAATCAAGCAAACATCACCAATTCTCTGATAACATCCTGACGTCATTGGGTTTTCTTTATAAATAGCTCACTCTCATAAATATCTTGATGTGGATTTGTAGGGAAGAGCTTAAGAATCCTTCTGTCCTCTGCTGAGAACAACTCCACACCACATAATTTTGTCCACAGCCCCGCCTAGTTTTAATAAATTCTGCCAAGTGGTTTTTGCCTAATCTTTCAGACACACGGGTAAACAAATGACAATGGAAACTTGAATTTCCCTGAGGCTCAACCCGTTTTGACGATAAAGGCTTGTGTTTTATTTAAATCTATTTTAATTTTTATGTCAGAATATATGACAGAATAGAATAATCCTTTAATTGCCCCACAAGGGGAAATTTGGCTGTAACAGCAGCCAGAAAGACACATATACAACAAACAGGACACAGAACAGAAACATACAAAATTTTTCTTACATATTTACATCAAGGACAATGGGTTACTATAAACAGAGTGCCGTTATTAAATTAAATAAAATTAACTACAGATAAGAGGCAAACCAGGTTGTAGTGCAAATCGGTTGATTAAATTATTGCAGTTACAGCGCAGATGTAAACATCTATGTTTGTTGGGAGCAGTTTGACAGCTGCAGGGAGGAAGGACCTGTGGAAACGCTCCTTCATGCATCTAGGATGCAGCAGTCTGTCACTGAAGGAGCTCTGCAGTTCAGCAACATTTACATGCATGGGGTGGGAGACTCTATCCATCAGAGATGAGTCCTTCTGTCTCCCACCACCTGCACTGGGTCCAGGGTGCATCCCAGAACAGAGCTGGCCTTCCTGATGAGTTTATCCAACCTCTTCCTCTCAGCTGCCGATAAACCGCTGCTCCAATATACAACACTGTAAAAAATGACAGATGCCACCAAAGAGTCATAGAAGGTCTTTAAAAGCGCTCCCTGGACTCCAAATTCAATCACAAATCTGTTGCTGTCTACAGACACAGAAAATCACATCTACTACTTACATCCAGCAAGAGCCTCTTAGACGTGAAACTGAAATTCCTCCACCTCCCAGATGACATTCTTTGTTAATGAAGCTTTCCACTTCAGGCTCACAAACATAAGATCTGGGACTTGACTCTTTGTTTCACCCTCCTCTGCTCAAAGTTGTACGACTGAAGGTCACCTACTCTGGTCAGAACACAAAAAGGCTCCACTTGTGTTGAAAAAATGAATTAATCATTAATCTTTTTGAATTTGAGTTATATTTATTTAATTCCCTCACTATGCTCTGTGTGCTGCTCTTTGAAACTTTTGAACATTAAAGGTTACTGATTGCATTTCAGGTCTGACACTCTCATGTAGGAAACATAGAAATTGTTTTAATTGGTTGCCAAATTAAAGTGAAATTAATTTCACTGATTAACTGACTGATTCTTAGTGATACACTGGTCACATTTTTAATCTGTTCAGTGTAAAACCAACTATAACAGATTTCCATTTCCTGCATCACCATCTTAATGCATATGGATTTTCATGACAAGGCGTACTTTTACGATGTGGCTCAACAGGTTGCACGTATGAAATGTTGAGAGCACAATCGAGATTTCAATCTTTAAAAGAATCCCTGAAAATGGGCCAAGTGATGGAGTATGTAGACTTTCAAAAATACATTTTGAACGTCTACATACTTATTTTTGGCTTCCCGTTTTAATTAACATCCTGTTTGAGGAGATGATGCCCTTTGAGCTCTCGTTCTACAAATGTGCACATCGTACTTTGGTTTAAATGTGGGTGCCTTGTCCCAGTACATCCACTGTCAACACCTGATATGTTCAAGAGGGGAAGAAAAGAAATGAAATGAAAAATTAAATCTCTTTTAATCTCTGTGGCTCTAATGGAGGAGGCTGCATTCTCGATTCGTTATTGTCGGCAGTGCTTTGAAGAATGAAATAAAGGAACAATATTAGGCCTAAGTAAAGGGTAAAAAAGAAAAACAGCGCTTTGTCGCTTTCATCGCCAATGAACTATAAATAAGACTAATGTATCAGAAACAGAGTGGAGAAATTAGTGGAGTAAATGAACCGTTCCCTGAATGAAAACATTTAATGAAAAGCTCTCAAAAAATTCTCTTAAGAGACCTCCAAATTATAAATATTTATGCCAAGTGACTGTATAAGCTTATATATTAATGTAACCCCACAGCACCAGATTGTGACTGACAGATGTGAGCGGTCAAGTTCGCTCTCATTTTAATATCCTGGTTCAGTGAATCAGTCACCTTGACTTATGATAGCATTTGCTCTCAGCAGGCGCCTGTTTGACACACTGATTGTTGTGTACCGAAATACCCTTTAACATAGAGGGTATTTTGGTACACAACACACACAATTTGAGACACAATTGGCTGCTTTTTTAAAAAAAAATATAAGTAGGAGGAATAAAAGCTCTAACATTAAAAAAAAAAAAATCTAAACTGTTTCATTGATCATAATTTTGCACAGTCAAAGCTCTTAAATCCTTAAATCCCCTAAAATGTTGATTAAGCTCAACAAGTCATGATTATGTTTGGTTATTAAAGCTTAATGCAATTCCACGGTTAACCCTGAAAGTCACACTACAAATAAAACCTGCAGCTTCTCCTTTCATGGGTTATATTTGGCTCTGTTTTTATTTGGAGTTGTGGCTTCGTTTTAAGGCTAACAATGTCCGCATACTATAACTGTTGGGCAGCATGCAGTGTGCTATTAAAACAGGATGAGGACAAATACATCACCATAAATGGACTACTGCCGTTTTGCTTAGAGGACGTGCGGGCCAAAGACATTTCATACAGCACCGAAAATGGCAACTAAATGGTTTTTGACACATACAAGTAACTCTACAGCTCCACTGACAGATGTGATAATCTGACTTTCTCCTCTCCTGTACTATTCACAGTTTTGCGTTCTTTTTCTAACTCCCTCACAGGCGGAACGTTTATTGAACAAGAACATTCGAAAGGGCATAGTAAACTACTACGATGACTTGGACTTCAAAAACATCATGGACTACGTTCAGAATAGGGTAAGACGACTCTTAATTTCCTGTTACTTGATAAACGTCACCTGTCTTTTTTTTTACATACGGACTGTATTAATCACCCAGAAACCCTCAGGACTTTAAATAAAGTCAGAAACCAAAGTTCCTTGACTTGACTTTAGTAAATCCCCAAATACACAGCTTTAAAGGATAAATAAATATTACAGCCTATACCTCTCCATCTGTACTAAGAGTGATTTTTTTTTTTTTTAGATCACTGATCTGTTTTAATAGTTTTAAGGGTTAAAGCTATGCCCTCTAATCTATAAATTATAAACTAGAATTAAAGACATGCTTCATGTGTTCTTAAAGATGCGTTAAAGAGTCAGGTGTTTAGCTTTTTTTTTTTTCTTTTTTTTTTTCTCTCTCTCAGTAGGTGCATGTTGTTGTTATAATCCCTTTAATGACAGCTATAATGCAACAGCCAAGCTAGTTAGACAGAACTAGTATTAGCTGGTAAATATCCCGGTAAACGCTCACATCCTGTTATGGTCATATCTAGTTAAAAAAACTCAAATGAGGCCAGTGCGCAGACTATGGGTGAAGTCACAGTAGTGGTATCCATCTTTTATGTATAGTCTATGTTAATAATCTCCTGCAGTAGAGACAAAGCCTGATTATTATTATTATAAAGCTGAGGATTTTTTGTTGTTTTAAAACTGCACAACCAGTGAACCTGAATCCTCACTGAAAATTTTTAGTTGCATCGCTGTGCATGACCATCAGAGCACACCGAGCCGCCATGCACACAGCCTGAAGCTGGAGATCTCTTTCCCAGCTTTTATCAAGCATATGGTAATGCACTGTAGGGGACAGCGGACTGGTCACACATTGAAACTAGCAGCCAGCTACAAACTCTGATTAGCACAGGAGAGGGGGCATATGTTCTGCACGCTACAGGCCTTCATCATTTTAAGGATTGTGTACTGTGGATTTGTGGCCTGATTGCGTGATAGTTGCAGGCTGCTTGAATTCCCTAAAGCTATTGTGTCTCAGGTGATTTGGTGGTTTAGAAAATGGGCTGAATTTTTTACACAGTTGTGGACTGGCAGATTTAACAGCATTTGAGCATTGTCCATGAAAGTTACAAGAAAGATCTTTGTGTGCATTTGGTCAGGTCCAGATAACTGATAACGGGTGTTTGTAAAACTTTCTCAGGATGAGAAACAGTTTATGCATGTCGATCTTTGAATGGAGGATACTGGCTTTTGCTTTGATGGGGCTTTGTCTCTGTAATACACCGAGCACACCCTGATCTGTTTCAGGGTTAACACAGAGGGGCAGATGATGGTTCATGTGCACAATCATACTTATGGACAATTGTGGAATGACCAGTTAATCTCACATTAGTCTTTGGATTGTGTGAGAAAACTGCACTACCCAGAGGTTACCAAAGCAGGGACGAGGACAGGCAAACTTTACTCTATACTAGCTGGATGTGTAAATTGATAAATAAGGCATTTATACTGAGAGAACTGTTGCTCACTCGATAATTTCTCTTTTTTAACCAATCGCTGTAAACCCTAGAGATGGTTGCGTGTGATAATCCCAGTAGATCAGCAGTTTCTAATTCGACAGGTCTGAATTGCATCAACAAACACGCCACCTTAAATCACATTTCTTCCCTATTCACATGTTCAATTTGATCTTCAGCAGGTTATTAACAGGCAGCGGAAGAGGCCTAATAAATCTGGTCAGTTTATAAAGAGAGAATGCAACGAGAGTTTTAAAAATTAATATCTTTCTCTTTCACAGAGAAGGTTTGTTAATGCTGGAGGAAAAAACATCTGACAATAATGCATGTGCTTAGTTGGTTAGGACAATTGGTTGGTGTATTTATTTTTGTCAAAGATCAGCAGCACCTTGGTTATGCAGATCTTAGTTGGTTGTGTAGAAAAGAAGTGCCGATTAATTATCTGTCAAAGCATAAAAGGAGCCTCTTTTTTTTGTTTTGGCAGCCGATTCATCCAGTGACATGTTTGAAGAACTTTATAGCAGCAAAGATTGCTTCAGTGATGTTAGAAAGCCATTTAACAGAAGCCTGTAAAGGTTTTTAAAGCTGCTTGCTGGGCCCGTTGCCCTGCTCTTAGAGAGATTAAGTGTTTTTCTGAAGAACTTCAATGGAAAACCATGTTTGAAAAAACAAACTTGGAGGGCACTGAGACTATGTTCTGAACTTATTTTTGTTTGTGAGAACGGTACCAAATTCAGTCATGCATTTGTGTTTGCGTCGTGTAAATGGTGACATTTTTCTCTGTTCCTTTCATATAAGATTTAAAAAGGCGTCCCTTTGTTGTCGGTGGGTAAGTGAGAACAACTGAATAGGAAGTTTATGTTGCGTTTGTCTGTGAGCAATCAGAATATTTCACTGCTCATACCAGGTCTGTGCCCTGTGAGCACAGTTCTGTATCCAGCAGTGTTTTTAATGTTCTTCTACATTATAAAACCATCTATTTTTTATTTTAATGTGTTCTGTGCAATGTCGTCCCGTGTGCCCGCTGAACTCTGGAAAAGCTCATATCCAGTAAGAAGAAAAAAACATTTCTAATGTGTTTAGATGGCACCTCCGTCTGTACTGTCAGGTTATTTTATTTTTGTGTGTGTGTAATGCGAAAAGGGTCAGAGGAGTCTTTCCTGCAAAATGCCTGAAGGTGTTTTGAGTGTAAACTCAACAGGAGGCATCCTGTCCCAGTCTCCATGTAAATAGCTGCTGATGTTTTGGATGGGGCTACGTCTTAGCCATCTGTCATAATTGCAACAACAAAGAAAAATTGATTGTCGGGACCAGTTTTCAGGCTTGAAAACGCCCTCATGCCTCAGAGCCCGAACAGTTGCGTCAGCACTTTTTCTTTTCTTTATTTTTGTTATCGAACCGTCTCTGAATCCAAAAAAGGAAATCGACAATCCAACATTCAGAGCTGGGACACACACATTGTTTAGTCAGAGGAGGCAGAATTAAATTTCTGCCATGCTATTTTTCTTCCATCCCCTCTGGTGACAGTCAATGCTGGACTCATTGTTTTCTGTTTTTCTTGAATGTGTCATTTCAGAAATGCATTTTGAAAGCTCTTAGCATGTGGCACAAACATTCGCTTTGGCTGAAGGATGAATTAATTGCATTAAAATAGTTAGATTTCACAAAAATCTCTAATAGGATAAAAAATATAATGATGCTTTTAAATCCGAAAGGTCAAAGCTTCACTTTCATAATTTTCTGGAAGTTTCTCACTAAAACTATTCTTACAGCGAAATAGTGACCATTATTCACATTTGGTAGGATGCCCAACTGGTGACACCCTCTGTGAATAAAGGACCAACTTTGATGAAAATTTGACACTTTTTTTTTTTCTTGCCTGAACTTCCTTAATTAAACCATTGCCTAGTTTCAAGGTTATACCTTTGAGTTTCTCCATCCATCCATTCATTTATCCATCTCTTATATACTGTGATGGGTTAGAGGCAGGTTACATCCCTGGACAGATTGCCAGTCTGTTGTTCAGCCAACACAAAAAAAATGGAAGAGAATATTTCCAGTTAACCTCACATTTATCAGTATGGGCAGCTCCATAGATTTATAGATATTTCTGAAGTCAGTAGGGGCATGGATCAGAGAAAAGAGTAACTTGAGCAGAGAAATAGCTGTGTGAGTACTATTTTAAGATGGACTTTAAGTGAACCTCTCCTTGACAATATTAAAATCTGATTCTGTACAGGTTAAGACATCTTCACTTTAATAACTGAGATAAGACTCCAAATGTAGAGTCACTTGAAAACAAAAGCACACCCACTTTCTATTGTAAGAGTTTCTGTATCAGGACATGTTAAAAATAACCTGGTCCTTAGCAGGTTCTAAATTTCGGTAAATACAACCTCAAGTGAACTAAAAAACGTGTCATTTTACACCATGTCATTATTTAATTAACAAACATTAAGCTGAAATGCAGAAGCAGTGTGTGGGAAAATGAAGTACACTCTTACTGCTTCCATAGGAATGGGGAAGTAGGTGTTAATCAAATGCTCTTGATTAAATGATCATCAGCAAGCGTGACCACCTGTCTGAAAGCCGAATTTTTGCCAGTTTGCTGGTCCGGAGCATTCAGGTCTTTTACACAATGCCAGCAACGAAACACATCAACAGTGATGAAATTAAATTGGAGAGGTTTAGTCTTAATGGATAGCACCGCATCTGGCAAAAACCAAACACAGCATATCAGGACAAAGAGGCGGTCGAGGGGTGATGGTTTAGACTGGTTTGGAATTGGACCTGGACATCCTGCAGTCACTGTCTCGACCATGAACTACTCTGTATACCAGAGTCAGATGTGAGGCTACATGTCTATCAGCTGAAGATCGTGCAAAACCGGGTCCTGCAACAGGTCAATGATCCCAAGCACAGCAACAAAACTGCAACAGAATGGATGGGAAAGAAAAGACTTGAGCGAGCTGTGTCACCAAATGAACTGAAGCAACATTCCCCCACCTCATGTGAGAGATTGTGAGAGACTGATAAAGTCGCACAAAAAATTGCTTACTTCAAGTTCTTGACGATTGGCTCTACAAGCGGATGTGGAATGACTCTAGGGTTCAAACTCCAGACTGTAATAACCGCACCACCACTTCCTGTTTCTTAACCGAATAAAGCAAGTAGGACAGGCATGGGGTCACATAGAAGGGTTCTGCATATTTGTTTTTCTCATTACATTTACACTCTAACATAGCAGGCGTACACCTGAGCAAGACCAAGCAAAATCCATCTGAGGAGTTGACAAAAGTTAGAGTTGGGCCTTAAGTCTAATTTCCATTTTTTTACAAAATAACTTTTAACCATTTCGTATCTGAAATCTTGTATAGTGTCTGAAAGTGTGACGCTATCACTGGTTTTACTGTTAATGGCTCTTCCTTTGACACAGAATGATAAATGTCACATGAACCACAAAATAATTGATCTCTTAGTTTGAAGCATAGTTAAAGATGTGTCTTCAGTG